AAGCTCTCCACACACTCACCGGACCTGGGCTAGGACTGGGTCTGGGGGTTCCCAGAAGTCGGCAGAAATTCCTACTCGGCGGGAGGGTGGGGGGCGGCCCGAGGGGGCGGGAGAGGGTCCGGCCCCCGCTGCGCCTGGGCTGGGACTGGTCCCGCCGGCTGTCTCACTTTCTTGAGATGGGGTCTTGCTGTACAGCTCAGGCTACCTGGCGCTCAGTCCTACTCAGCACCCCATATGCTGGGATTGTAGGCATGCGTAGGCATACTCAGCTAATTGTTCTCCTTTTGAAGTCTGAATCATAATTCGTTGTGTATAGATACCATTAAACTGGCTTCAAAAAAATAAATAAACTGGCTTAAAACTCTTTGGGTATACATTTCGCAGTGGATTATTAAATTAACTATTATCCTAATTTTTATTTTTTGAGGGACTTTCATATTCTCCCTGCCTCCCCCCTTCCCTCCCTCCCTCTTTTTGAAGCAGAGTATCACCATGCAGTCCTGGCTGGCCTCCTACTCATGGTGATCCTCCTGCCTGAGCCTTCTGAGTGCTGAGGTTAGTTTCCTTTTTTTTTTGTTTTTTTTACACTGAGGATTAAATTCAGGACTTATAGGGCTGGCCAAATAGTTCAGCAGATTAAAGTGCCTGCTAGCAGGAGGGGGTAGGGTGTGGGGGTTTGATCCCTGTGCCTGCCTGCCTTCCCCATGTGCGCTGAGACAGGCAATTGAGACTGGGCGTGGTGGCGTAGGCCTGTAATCCTAGCACCTGGGAGGCTGTAGACAGGAAAATCACTAGGAGTCCAATCTAGTAGTGAGACCCTGAACACCTTGTAGATCTTTCCCTAAGAATATAAATAAATAAATAAATAAATAAATAAATAAATAAATTCAGGACTTGTGCATGTTAGGCAAGTTCTCTACCACTGGCTTGTATCCCCAAGCCCCTCATACTGTTTTTCTTAATGGCAGAATTCACTTGTGTTCCAGTCAGTACTGTACAAAGGTTACCTTTTCCACTGTGTCTTCACCACTACTTTGCTTTCCTGTGTGTAACTGCCATTCTAAACCGGGGGTGGTGGCGCACACTTGTAAGCTCAGCCCTGAGGAGACTGAGGTAGGGGATTGCCACGAGTTCAAAGCCAAGTGCGGCTGCACAGTAATACAAAGCCATGTCAATAATAGTAGTAATAATAGTAATAGTATGATGCCATTCTAGTAGGTATGTGGTGTTATCTTGTAGTTTAATTTGCATTTTTCTGATAATTAAAATACTTTTATCACATAGCAGTGGCCATTTGTATGTTTTTGTTTTTGAGAAATGTCTATTTAGTTCCTGTGCTTACTTTTTAATTGGCTTATTTTTTAAGAGTTTAGTAATTAGAGTTCCTTATGCATTTTGGATATTAACCCTTAATCAGATACATGGTTTGTAGATGTTTTTTTCTAGTATGTTACCTCTTGACTTTGTCACCTTCACTGTGCAGAAGTTTTTTACTTTGATGTCAGTGCATATGGTTTTTGGTTTTTTTTTTTTTGCGGAACCAGGGATTGAACTCAGGCCCTTGCGCTTGCCAGGGAAGCGCTTATTCCACTGAGCCATCTCCCCGGCCCTAGTGCATATGTTTTTGTTCGATATTACCAATACCTCTCTCTGGGAGTTGTACCATTTCTCCTACCCCCAAGTAACATATGAGAGTCTTTATGGGCCCATAGCCTTGTTCATAATTGCCATGTTTATTACTATCTACTGAATGGGAAATTATGTCTATGTAGTTTTAATTTTCATTTCTTTTATTAAGAGTGAAGTTGGGCTGGGTGATAGCTTTGCAACACAGTGCTTGCTTGGCAAGCACAAGGTCTTCAGTTTGATTCAGAGTGAGGGCTGGCAAGATAGCTCAGCAGACTAAGCACCTGCTTAGGCAAGCCCACTGCATGCCGCACTGGCCACTAAGACTGGGTGTGGTGACATACTCCTGTAATCCCAGCGCCGGGGAGGCTGAAAACAGGAGAATCACAAGTCCAAGCTGCATAGTGAGACCCTATACCAAATACATTTAAAAAAAAAAAAAAAAAAAAGGAATGTAGTTGAAGATATTTTTATAGCTTTTAAGGACCACTTTTGATGGGGGGGACATTGTCTGTTCATGGCTTTGTTCTGTTCTATAAAATTTGATTTTGTCTTTTCTTTCCCCACAGTGTTCAAACTTTTCTCTTTTAGCTTTGTCATACCTGTTACAGATTTTTTTTTTTTTTTTTTTGCTAGCTCAGGATGCCTTAAGGGCAGGTCGGGTAAGGCATGAGTATCTAGGGATTGAACCACAGCATCCTGAGCCTAACTGCTTTGCTTAAGCAGGTACTTAAACAACTGAGCTAATGGGCAGCCCCCCCAGATTTCTTTATTAAGTAGTTTTGGGTTTTCTTTTTTGTGTTTGGTACCGGGGATTGAACTCAGGACCTTGTGCTTGCCAGACAGGCATGTAAGCTGCTGAGCTATCTCCCCAGCCCTCCTGTTATAATAATTTGTTATTTGTCTTTTGCTTATGGTTTTAAATTTTTTTTGCCATGTAAAAATTTATTTACTTTTATTTATTTACTTTTTTACCTTTTGAGACAGAGTCTGCTATATAGTTCACATTGGTCTTGAGCTAACTTTGTAGCCCAGGCTGGTCTTGGACTTGCAGCAACGATCCTCCTGCCTCAGCCCTCTTGAGTGCTCGGATTACAGGCATGTGCCACCTCGCCCGGCTTAAAAATTGGTTTTAGCTTAGTTGTCAGAGATGATTAGGTGGGCATTGTGGAGTGTGCCTGTAACCCCCGCCCTGAGGCAGGAGAATCATGAGTTGAAGGCCAGCCTGGACTACATGGACACCCTATCTCAAAAACAGAGATTTGTGTTTTCATTGCATTCAGAGCTTCAGTTGGTTAGAAAGCATCCCCTGATACATCCAGGTTATAGAGAAATTTACTCAAAAGCATTTTGTGAAGCCAGTATATGTTTGTTTACTTAAACCTGAATTAAATAGCCACCTGATTAGTTTTGGTAGGATCACTTGGGAGCCAAATTAATAATGGAAATTAATAAAAATAATAGTTGACTCATAAAGAATAAACCTAATAGAAAATAATAAAAAAAAATTGAAACATCTTTCATAGCTATGGTAAATTCTTCATAGTATAAATTTTTTTTTTTTTTTTGGCAGCTCTGGGGCTTGAACTCAGGCCCTTGCGCTTGCTAGGCATGCACTTGTTCAACTGAGCTATCTCCCCAGCCCCTTCATGGTATAAATTTAGATGGTTTTGTTCCTGGGTTTAATGTTCATTAGCAGCAGAAGCGGTTAAATATGTGTGGCTGTTGGTGATTAAAATTTTGGCATTCTGTGCTGGCTCCGCCCCCAGGGCGTGCTGAAATGGCAGTTGAGACTGGGTTTGGTGGCACATGCCTGTAATCCCAGCTCTTGGGAGGCGGTAAACAGGGAGATCACTATGAGTCCGATCTAGAAGTGAGACCCTGAACACCCTGTAAACCCTTCCCTAAAGTACAGAAAAAGGGGCCAGGGAGATGGCTCAATGGAATGAGCGCTTCCCTGGCAAGTGCAAGGGCCTAAGTTCAATCCCTGGTTCTGCAAAAAAAAAATAAAAAATAAATAATAAATAATAATAGTAAAATAAAATACAGAAAAAATAAAATTTTGGCATTCCAGAAGCACAGGAATCGGGTTCGGTGTTCGCTCCACAGATTTTGCATAGGAAATAGCACAGCTCAGCATTTGTTTTATGTGTTCTGCATGTTGAAGACACATGTAAACATTTTGTCTTCATACTGCATGTAGCGATACTTCTAGCTTGGCTTACGCTGCCTTTGCCACAGTTAAATATGGAACAGTAGCAGGTAGGGTTGTAGTAGCCTTAGCCACTGAGAGCCTGAAGCAAGCTGAAAACCTAGGAACCAGTCGGAGTTAACACTAAGATTGTTTGCTTAGTGTTGTTTGCTCCTGCACTTCATGTGAGACGATTCCTTAGATCCTCACTCACTTCTGTTACTTTTATTACTTATGCAGCTAGTTTTAGAGTGGGCTTTCTGGTGTCATAGCCAACAGTAAAATGGCACTGATAAAAGAAGCAAGCACATCACCCCCACAGCACTCTGAGGCTGACATAAATAACAGTGACCCTAGAATAGGGGGCATTGGGAAGGCTGAGACGGGAGGAACACTTGAGCCCTAGAGTTTGAGACCAGCAGAGTGAGACCTTGTCCCTCAAAAAAAGAAGTTAAGGAAATAAAGAACAATACCCCTGAGAGACTTTCCTAATCTGAAACTAAATAAATAACCGCTGTGTCTCCCCTAGATCTGAATTCTACAAGCACATTGTGCTTTCTGGAGGATCCACTATGTATCCTGGCCTGCCATCACGGTTGGAACGAGAACTTAAACAGCTTTATCTAGAACGAGTTTTAAAGGGAGATGTGGAAAAGCTTTCTGTGAGTATGCCTCATCCCAAATCCTTCTAAAACCCTGTGATGGTGAATCTGGGCAACCACTAGAGGGAGCAAGAGTGCTTCCTGAACACATTCCTACTGCTGTGGCTAAGTGGCCTGGAAGCGCTGTCCTCCCACCGATGGTGCGACCAGACAGTGTCCGCTCAGTGGATGGGGGCAAGTGCAGCGTGCCTCTGAGAGCCTGGGGCAAGCCTGCTGTGCCGCGGATGCAGAAATGCACAATATAGGGCTGTGACGCTATTTGATGACTTCACTTTTTATACTTTTTTTTGAACTGGAAATTGAACTCAGGACCTTGAGCCTACCAGGCAAGCGCCAACCCACTGAGCGATATCCCCAGCCCGTTTAAACTTTTTGAATGTACAATCTGAGTTATTTTTCCAGCTATTCGTTGCCTATGTCTTAGCTTCCTATGATGTGTGTGTCCGTTTCTTTTGCACCTCTACAACTATCATAGCTCTTGAAACAGACTTTAATTAGAAACTGTTGGTGATTCTTTGGCAGGGGTCTCCCTCAGCACCAAGCTCTGGGCTGTGAAACACGGCGCATATGCTCTGCACTCAGCCAAGAGGCAGTTCGTCTGGGATTAACCTCAGCCTTGTCTCACTGTCTTTAGTCAACTGTTACAGATAATGAAATTACATATTATGAAGTAACGTATGTTTCGCACACACTAATGTTACATCTTTCATATATGACTTAAATTACTGAAATGTCATTAAGTATGGGCTTCTCAAATACTGTAAGCAAATTAATTACTGGAAGGGAGCCACATTGTCTAAGTACTTCACTCATTTTTCTGGTTTTATTGAATTATACATATAATTTAAAATCCATCTGAGGTGCTCATTTTTTTCCCCTTGTACTGTTGGGGATTGAACCCATTGGCTCACAAATGCTAGGAAACCTTCTATCACTAAGCTACATGTCAACCTACCAAATGTTTCTTGAACTCCCACTTGGGTACTAGCTATTGACCTAGAGGACAAACAGAACTTATAAAATCCCTACTTTTCATCTAAACAATTTATCAGTAGTAGTAAGTAGTATAAAGAAATAGACACGAAAATGGTAGTAGCGGGGATGGTGATAGGCTTCTTAATGGGTGATCAGGACAGACTTCCAGTGAGGTAGCTTTCTTTCAGAGATCTGCTCTTGGTGAGAGAGAGTAGGGCACTTTTTTAATTTTTTAATGTATTTGGTACAGGGTCTCATTACACAGCTTGGACTCATAGTGATCCTCCTGTTCTCAGCCTCCCCGATGCTGGGATTATAGACGTGCGCCACCATGCTGGGTCTTGGTGGCCCACTCAGCATGCTTGGGGGCAGGGCCAGTGCAGCATGTGGTGCTGGGGATGGAACCCAAGTCCCTGGGCTTGCCTAAGCAGGTACTTAGTCTGCTGAACTATCTCGCTGGCCCCTTACCTTTTTTTTTGAGACAGGGTCTCACAGTGCAGTTCAGGCTGGCCTTAGGTTCACTTTTGTAGCCTCCAGGCCGGTCTCAAACTTGCAGCAGCCTGGTTCTGGGACCAGGTCTGTGCACTCAAGTTACCAGGTCCGGCACAGCACATGGAATCAGGGATTGAACTCGGGACTTCGCGCTTGCCATGTAGGTGCTTATGTCTCGGAGCTGTCTCTTCCCCCACCCCCGCCCTTTTTAAGACAGGGTTTCACTGTGTAGTTCAGGCTGACCTTCAACTCACTATGGAGTCCACGCTGGCCTCAGCCTCCAGAATGATGAGGTAACAGCCAAGTGCCACCAGGCCAGCTTCACACATGACTTTGAGGGGGTGAAATCACTCAGGAAGAAACAGTGCAAAGTAAGCTGGGGCAGAGTGAGTAGGGGATGCTGCGCGAAGCAAGGTCACAAAGGTAGCAAGGATGCGGGTCTTGTTCAGTCATCCCAGAGGTCTGGCTTTGCTTCTAGTTAGTTGGAAAGTCTTGGGAGGCTTTTGCACAGAGAAATGATAAGATCCAGCTTGTGTTTTAAAAAGATGAGTAAGTATGGTGTGGAGAGTAGATTCTTGAGAGAGGAGGGAACAAAGGTAGACCAAGAAAAAAGGAGGTGGAAAAGGTGGTAGAGGAGGAGGTTTAAATAGTTGGCTTGGATAATGGACAACTTGAGAAAAAGTGAGACAGCATTGTCAAACAGCACCAAGGGCCCAGTTGAGGTTAGTGACAGTTTAAAACAAGATGTTGGGACTTTTTTTATTTTTTGTTATTTTTCTCTCATTTTGAGACAAAGTTTCTCTCTGTAGTTCAGGCTGGCCTTGAACTCACTTTGCAGCCCAGGCTGGCCTCCAACTCTCAACAATCCTCCTGCCTCAGCCTCCCTAGTGCTGGGATTATAAGTGTATTCCACCATACCTGGCAAGATTTTGAGTTTTGTTTCTTTTTTAATAAAAGAAGATCTGTTTGCAGGTAGGGAAATGGAATGAGAGAAAGATGACAGACAGTTACCCTAGATGAGGATATATATATCTAAAAGT